GTAAAAAGATCTACAATTGCCGGAAGAGAGGGAAACGGTAATCATCATTAAACAGTTGTGTGTTAAGCAGGTATAACCGGAGAAATTTAGCATCGGATACTGCATGGAATGGTCCAAACAATAACCCTGACTATAATTAAAGTAAGGAAAGACTCTTAACAGTTGTTTTCTTTAAAATAAGTCTATGTTATTGGTGTAACAAAAGCAAAAATGCGGAACCACGTAATTTGAGGAACGCTGTAAAATGGATTCGGTCTGTACAAAATAACTGATGGCAAGCTTGTAACTTGGCTGGTTGCTACCCCTAAAAAAGAAAGTTCAACAACACCTCTTTTTCTAACAAAAAAGGCGCTGTTCCATCACAATTTAAACAAAAATAGAGCGGGGAAATGAGCAAGTAAAGGACCACATTCTGAACCAGGACTTCCTGCTCATGTTGAATGGACCACTCCAAAGTGTAATCTAAGGTGCTTATATGATGTGTGCCTATATAATGCCTTCACCATTAATATAAAAAATGCTTCCTGTAACTTAAGGTTTCCGTTGGTAGTGTGTGGACTATACATATTTAACATTACAGTGGACAGCATGACAAGTCCGCTCTGTCGCGAGCGTTATTGGAGCAAAGTTAGAAAACTCCCCTCAAACATCAGTCATTGACACTGGACTCGGCCGTTGCACTTCCACAAATAAATGCACACAGCAGCTCTTGGAGCATTACCACACAGGTGCATTTACCTGTGCTTTATTGAAATGTAAAACCTTATCTCAAAAAAGAGGTGGTGACCTCTAGTTCATAGAATCATTGTAACCAGGACCCTGTGCAAAAGAAATGAAACCACTCAACTCAGTTCACTTGCCTCTGTCCTGACATAGAAATGACACAAATAATAGAATTGCAGAGTTTGAAGGGACCCGGCGATATTAGCATTGCAGGAATCTCAACTAAAGCAACCTCATGGGGCCATCATGGATTTATGGGGGCAGGCTTTAGTTATGGGCGCAGAACCTCAGTTTTTGTATTGATTTATTTCGTTTGGAGGAAGGCAGCTGCCCCTCCCCTTTTGGTTCGGTCCTAACCCCCAGAGCAGCAGAAAACAAGCTTCTCCATCGTCACGTGAACCCTTTAGAAATCTGAAAATGCTATAGATCTCCTCTCAGTCTCCTCTTTTCCAAGCTAAATACCAACGTTTCACTGCTTCCGGCATGTGTGTGACTCATTTTTGACCGTCTGCGCATGACCGAGCGATGAAACCCTGAAGTAACGCGCTCGTTACTTTGGGTCGCCACAGAGCGCAACCTGAAAGTGCTCAAGGCCAAACATCCCCACACCTCCTGTGTATCATAGTAGAGAAAGCATGTGCCCATGTGTGCATCCACCATACACACATCATGAGATATTCTGGGAACTTGGCTTGCATGGTAAATATTAGCTGCACTGCACCCTTGCCTCCAGGACTGGCCCTATATTTAGGCAGAGTGGGAGGGGGGCATGTCTGGCACCAGATGCTCATCAGGAGAAGGGGGGGCAGGCAGTGACGGATCAGAGGGCAGATCTCTGCATGCTATGCAGCCTGCTTTGCACCTTCTCTGTTGGCCTGTGTGGGAATGTTGTCGATGGTAGGAGAGGATATATTGATTACTGTACTTTTCTGTCTATAAGAAGCCCCCATGGTACTAAAGGTAAAGGGACCCCTGACCATTAGGTCCTGTTGTGACCGACTCTGGGTTGCGGCGCTCATCTCGCTTTTATTGGCCGAGGGAGCCGGCGTACAGCTTCCGGGTCATATGGCCAGCATGACTAAGCCGCTTCTGGTGAACCAGAGCAGCGCACAGAAACCTGTTTACCTTCCCTCCGGAGCGGTACCTATTTATCTACTTGCACTTTGACATGCTTTTCAAAACTGCTAGGTTGGCAGGAGCAGGGACCCGAGCAACGGGAGCTCACCCCGCCACAGAGATTTGAACCGCCGACCTTCTGATTGGCAAGTCCTAGGCTCTGTGGTTTAACCCACAGCGCCACCCGCGTCCCCATGTATTAGACGCCCCCTATTTTGGGGGACTCAAATTTAAGAAAATGGAGGGAGATGGCACAGAGTTGTTGAGATTTTTTTAGGGGGGGTTGCTGAAAATCGCTTCACCCACACCGCAAAATCCACCTCCTGTCTGTCCCATCGCTGGCAGATTGCTGCCAATTTGCCCCGCCCAACTGCCAGAGCGTCAGCCAATCAACACCACCCATTGAAACAGCAACCAATAACACACACAGTAGCTGCTGACAGCCGCAGCAGCAACCAATCAAACGTCCACCCTATGCACTACCCAAGTGTAAGATGGCCCCAAATTTTTAGCATGATTTTTAAAGGAAAAAAACAGTCTTATACAAGGAAAAGTACGTAAATATTGTCCTTCCTCACGCTAGTGAGCTGGTCGCAGAGTACATTCCCCTGTATATTGCAGGAAGCTAGTTGGTAGATTCGTTCGAATCTCTTGAGTTAAGCAATCCAGTCTGGCTTGTCCAGATCGGGTTGTTCCTGGTGAATTGCCCTTTATTCCCTCTTAAAACAATAAGGACACCCAGTCTTCTTTAAGAGTAATGATAAGAAGTTTACTTACATTCAGTTCAACAGTATGATCCTGAAGGCAGGCTTTACTTGTAGTTTACAGAAGAGAGTGTGAGTTCATCCAGTATGGGGATTGAGCCCATGTGCTGCTGGCTTGAGAGCGGCAGACAGCAAAAGCACCAAGAGAACAGCAACAAGAGAAGAGGGCTGCGTGACAAGCCCCTGTAAAGGGTCTGCCAGGGTCAAGCCCATCTACCTGGTCACATGCAGGGGGAGGATGCTCCAGACCAGGTGTGACAGGAAGTCCTCCTGGCTGGAGCAACATCCCCTTGTTGTCCACTCCTGGGCAGACAGGAAATGTTGTACTTGACTGCTACAGTGATGTACAATCTCACAGCCTGCTCTCCTCAGGTGTGGTGTCCCCATCACCTGTGTTTAGCTTCCTGTAAATGGAATTGGAGATGGGCGGGGTATAAATAAATATATATATGGGGGGGCAACGTGGGTGGATTGGCCGGTACACTTTGTCCATCATCTGAACCAGGCCCGTGTGCAAAACGCTTCAGTGTAAAAGAGGGACTTCCCTAAGGAGGTACCAACTGTTCCAGTGGGAGGTGCATGTGATGTTAACATATGAGAGTGCTGGAGGTGAAATAGTTAAACAAGTTACCCCAATCAGAACCCAGGGGGTGGAGTCCAGAGGGACTATAAAACAGCTCTGGGAGGGGCGAAAGGGAGTTTGTTGGGAGTTGGTTGGTTGGTTGTTGGAGTGGGAGTGAATTGGGATAGAGTCTGTGGGGAGGTTGAGTTAGGGTAGCGAAATAAGCTGAGTTAAGGGCTGGGAAGACAAGTAAATATCTGAGAGGTGGTTTAGTGAGTGAGAGCAGGTAGTGGAAGTTATAGGTCGGATAGGCAGCCCATGATTGTAATTGACCGATACCTGTTTATGAAACCACACGCTTGTTAAACTGCAATAAATAAACAGAAGTTTATGTTCCAATTTAACCCTGACTGGACTCAGTATTGTACCAGGTAGGGCCTGGGTGGTGGCAGCGAGAAATAAAGTGGTGGCACAGGGATCAATAGACGGTGAAACGTCTGGGGACCCTGTGTGATCGCCACAGTGCAAAGCTTGCTATTCCCTTCACAATATTTGTCAACTACGGTCCAAAAAATAGAATCGTCTAAAATTGTCTTGTGTGACGGCAGATCAAAATCTGCTCCAGCACTGTTTCACTGGTTCTCTTTCTCCATGGCCATGTTAGCAGAGAAACACTGGTAAATGTGTAGGTGCAGTACCTCCACTCTGGGTTTTACTTGGGGAGTAGAAAATGCCTGATATCTGTGGCCGTTTAATTTGCTGCAGTTCAGCCATTTCAGTCCCATTGTAGGTCCTCTTCCGTTTCTCCTCTTGCCTTATTCTGCTGGACTTGCGCTGGTTCTAGAATGACTTTTCCATGTTTGTTCCTAGATTACCCATGGGATAAATCCAGCCTGAAGTCTATACCAATGGACTTGACGCAGTTTAAGGAACTGGATGACCATGCATCAACGGTATACTGTCTCTTACGGCGATATGATCCACACGGAATAATAGTTCTGTAAAGAATCTTCTAGGATGCTGAGAGGGTTTTTTAAATGTGGATTTGGAATTGGACCCTAGGGATCTGTTCCAACTCTACAATTCTATGATTCTATGACAGTACCTTCAAGTGTCCCTCTCCTTATAGGAGGCAACTTCTTCTGTCCACATGGAAGTTCACAGTGGGAAACATTATGCTTCAAAATCCACCCCAAGCCTGAAACAAAGGGGATTTGGATCACACCTGAAGACTGTGGAAATAGCATGCCTGTGTAAAGAAAAAAGAAAGGTTAAGCATGCTTCATCCTTCAAAACAATTTTACTCGGGGATAAAATTTGATAGATTGATCAACTAGGGTGCATACACTTACTCAGCTAACTGTGTATTCCTGAGCAGTTTTACGCAGAAGTAAGCTCCATTGAGTTCAGTAAGACTCTTTTTAGTGCATGTAGGATGGCAGGCACCCTAAGTTTTCTTTAGACAGCAGAAAGGAACTGGGTACTGCTCCTCCATGTTATCTTCTACAGTATTTAAAAAGGTAAAGGTACCCCTGCCCGTACGGGCCAGTCTTTACAGACTCTAGGGTTGTGCGCTCATCTCACTCTAGAGGCCGGGAGCCAGCGCTGTCCGCAGACACTTCCGGGTCACGTGGCCAGCATGACAAGCTGCATCTGGCGAGCCAGCGCAGCACACGGAACGCCGTTTACCTTCCCGCTGGTAAGCGGTCCCTATTTATCTACTTGCACCCGGGGGTGCTTTCGAACTGCTAGGTTGGCAGGCGCTGGGACCGAGCAATGGGAGTGCACCCCGCTGCGGGGATTCAACCGCCGACCATGCGATCGGCAAGTCCTAGGCACTGAGGTTTTACCCACAGCGCCACCCGCGTCCCATAATACAGTATTTACCTTTCCTGAAACAGGTGAATGTCAAGAACAACGTGAAAAAACTGGTGAATGTCTTGCTTCAAAAAGCCCACAGTGACCTGGAGAAAGTCCGAGCCATTTGGATGTGGACGTGCCATCATATAGGTAGGTGGTGGTGGTGGGGGTGACCTTTCTGTGTGCGAAGCCGGAAGCGATCCCTCCAGACAACAGAACGACTCTTCTAGTGGTGTTATAGGTAAGCTCCTTTATATAGCATTGGATTAAAGCAGAGCCTTTGAAGGTGATTAACTGTTGTTTTGTGAACGAAATAGTAAAGGTAAAGGGACCCCTGACCATTAGGTCCAGTCGTGGCTGACCCTGGGGTTGCGGCACTCATCTCGTTTTATTAGCCGAGGGAGTCGGCGTATAGCTTCCGGGTCATGTGGCCAGCATGACTAAGCCACTTCTGGCGAACCAGAGCAGCACACGGAAACACCATATATCTTCCCGCCGGAGCGGTACCTATTTATCTACTTGCACTTTGACATGCTTTTGAACTGCTAGGTTGGCAGGAGCAGGGACCGAGCAACAGGAGCTCACCCTGTCGCGGGGATTCGAACCGCCGACCTTCTGATCGGCAAATCCTAGGCTCTGTGGTTTAACCCACAGCACCACCCGCAGATACCCCTCATTGAACTGATTAGTTACTTGTATCTTCTGCTAAAAGTTTCTGATGTAGGTGAGGTTGCTGCAGTCCTTTATCGGTTGTGCATTGCAGACTTTGAGGTGACTGTCCATAAATGTCTTTATTCCTCCAGAATACGATGTGGAAGGATACCATAACAAGGTGCCTTCTGAGGCAACTGATGCCCTTCAGTCGGGGAAAAGCGCTTGTGGGGGCTATGCTGGCCTTTTTGAAGAAATGTGCAGGTAATTCCTATTGAGCCGCAGAGAGCTGGAGAGCCACACGTCCCCCACACCTGCTCTATACAGGCGACTCTCAACACATCATTATGAAGACAAACTTGGGTCCCCCTACAGCCACTGGAAATCCTGCTTGGCCCCTCCCCACCATGCTTCCTTCACCAAACACTTCTTGTACCTTTTAAAGCCCTTCTGTGCTGCCTTGAAAGCTATAGATTCCAGTCTCTCTCTCTCTCTCTTCAACAAGCAAGCTGAGATTAATAATAATAATAATAATAATAATAATAATAATAATAATAATAATAAATTATTTATACCCTGCCCATCTGGATGGGTTTCCCCAGCCCCTCTGGGCGGCTTCCAACAAAATATTAAAATACAATAGTCTATTAAACATTAAAAGCTTCCCTAAACAGGGGTGCCTTCAGATGTTGTATAAAAGTCTGGTAGTTGTTGTTCTCTTTGACATCTGGTGGGAGGGCACCACAGGGCAGGTGCCACTACTGAGAAGGCCCTCTGCCTGGTTCCCTGTAACTTGGCTTCTTGCAGCGAGGGAACCGCCAGAAGGCCCTCAGCGCTGGACCTCAGTGTCCAGGCAGAATGATGGAGGTGGAGATGCTCCTTCAGGTATACCGGACCAAGGCCGTTTAGGGCTTTAAAGGTCAGCACCAACACTTTGAATTGTGCTCGGAAACGTACTGGGAGCCAGTGTAGGTCTTTCAAAACCGGTGTTATGTGGTCTTGGCGGCCGCTCCCAGTCACCAGTCTAGCTCCCGCATTCTGTATTATTTGTAGTTTCCGGGTCACATTCAAAGGTAGCTCCACATAGAGCGCATTGCAGTAGTCCAAGCGGGAGATAACTAGAGCATGTACCACTCTGGCGAGACAGTCTGCGGGCAGGTAGGGTCTCAGCCTGCGTACCAGATGGAGCTGATAAACAGCTGCCCTGGACACAGAATTGACCTGCGTCTCCATGGACAGCTGTGAGTCCAGAATGACTCCCTGGCTGCGCACCTGGTCCTTCAGGGGCACAGTTACCCCATTCAGGACCAGGGAGTCCTCCACACCTGCCCGCCTCCTGTCCCCTCAAAACAATTGGCTCCTAACAACAATTTTTGTACCAGTGCAACATACAAAACTGTCATGCAGGGCTGGGGGATCTTGGGCCTTCCAGGTGTTGTTCAGCTACATCTCCCATCAGCCTTAGCAAGCTTGGCCAGCCACCAGGAATGATGGGAGTTGTAGTTCATCCACATCTGGAGGACCAAAGATTCCCCAGACCTGTAATATGCAGTTAAATGAAGCAGCCTGGCATTTCTTCAGAGTAAAGTAGTAGTCCACAGGTGGCATTTAGCATACTTCTGTTTCCTCCCTCAAAATCCCAGATTGCACATCCGTAAGGGGCAAGATTGGACAATATAGGAAAAAGTCTGAAATGCTGGATGCGGTTTGGCTTCTCCCTGAAAACAGAGCAAAATGAAGGATGGCCATTCTAATCCAAAAAAGCATTGATTGCAACCACAGTGCCTTGTTCACAATGGTGTTCCTGAATCCCTTTCTTTCCCCCTCAGTCTTGCAGGGATACAATGCAAGCAGTTGTCCGGCTTTGCCAAAGGGTTCCAATACAAACCAGGAAAAGTATTTGAGGGGAAGACTAATCATGTCTGGAATGCTGTTTATCTTGAAGGAAGGTGGCATCTTTTAGACAACACGTGGGGCAGCGGCTGTGTGGATGACTCTTGTAGCAAGTTCACTTTCAGGTATGTTGTTAGGCAACAGAAAGCCTACTCAGAGTGTGGGACACAACAAGGGTATAGTGAACTTCCTTTTGCTTTCAGATTTTTGTTTGGTTTGCTTGTCAGAATTGGTGATTTGATAGCCACAGGGCATCAGCATGGAGTGTTGTGGTAGTGGTGGGACAATTAATAGATTCTAGAGCAGCGGTTCTCAACCTGTGGGTCCCCAGATGTTGTTGGACTACAACTCCCATCATCCCTGAGCTCTGGCCTTGCTAGCTGGGGGTGATGGGAGTTGTAGTTCAACAACATCTGGGGACCCACAGGTTGAGAAAGGCTGTTCTAGAGTATTATGCTTATCCTACATGTGTAGGATTTGGGGATCCTGGAGTTTGGGTCATTGCAACACAGCAGCCTTTCTCTACCAGGTGCCCTCCAGTAGTTTTAGACTACCACTCCCATCGTCACTAACTATTGGGTCTCAGGCTTCAGGGACACAGCTTCCTCCCACCCACCCCCGCCCTTTTGCAGTAGATAAGCAAAACAAAGCGGAAGGAGTCTCTTACCAGATTTTTAATTATCGTAGCCAGAGAACAAAGAATCCATTTCTAGGAATGAAGGTGCTCCCTATTAAGGGTTCCACCCACTTTCTCCCTAGTCACCCACTTCACTTCTGCATCTTGCAACCACTGTGCTTTCCGTGCTACCACCTCAACTACTCCCCTTGACCTTGGGCTGAGTGGATGGACGCTTTCCAACAAAATGGAGTCTGTTCACGCTCTCTCTCCCGGTTCTCCTCCTCCTAGCTGTTCACCACCCAGTTCTTCCCAACTTCTGTCTTCTGAACTATGTCCCTCTGCAAACCACTGTTCCAAATCCATACTGCTCCACTGCTCCTGGGAAGATTCAGGATCCCGAGCAGGAGCAGGGGGCGGGGGAGGCTTCCACCATTCCTCTCAGTGCAGCCCTCCACAGCACGGTCCCTGACATTGGGCCACATTGGCTGTGGTTGATGAGTCATGAGTTCAGTCAAACCTGGAGGGAATCAGATTGGGGAAGGCTGGATGAGCAGGTCATCCAGTTCCTAAACTGTGGCTAGTGTTAACTATGGACATGCTTGTCAAATAAAGCATTGTTGTCATTAAGAAGAGGAAGGGTTTGGATTTGATATCCTGCTTTATCCCTACCCAAAGGAGTCTCAAAGCGGCTAACATTCTCCTTTCCCTTCCTCCCCCACAAGAAACACTCTGTGAGGTGAGTGGGGCTGAGAGAAGTGTGACTAGCCCAAGGTCACCCAGCAGCTGCATGTGGAGGAGTGGGGAATCAAACCCGGTTCACCAGATTACGAGTCCACTGCTCTTAACCACTATGCCACATTGGCACAGATTTGGGTGAGAAAACAGGCTGTGGTTAATCTAATCAAGGATCTCGTTTCCAAACTGTTCACATGTGTGGCTGTGGGGGAGGGAGTTGGAACGAGGCTTGCTATGTTTCATTCCCAACATGCTAAGCTGTGGTTTCACTTGACATCTGAACAAGGCCTAGAAGGATTCCACGCTCATTTTTAGATAGCTTTCTCTGTTTGACCCTGGTGCTGAGATTTCACGAAAGACTGCACAATTGCGCTTCCTCCTTCTGCAGGTACAATGAGTTTTACTTCCTTACCCATCCTGCCCTGTTTATTAACGATCACTTCCCAGAAGACCACAGCTGGCAGCTTCTGAAACGGACATTATCACTGCAGCAGTTTGAACGTAATGTGTGGTATAAGTCTGCCTTTTATTCAGTAGGACTGACAGGCACATCCACGGCAACATCAGTCATCGAAACAGGTAAAGTCATAGAATCATAGAATCATAGAATCATAGAGTTGGAAGAGACCACAAGGGCCATCGAGTCCAACCCCCTGCCAAGCAGGAAACACCATCAGAGCACTCCTGACATATGGTTGTCAAGCCTCTGCTTAAAGACCTCCAAAGAAGGAGACTCCACCACACTCCTTGGCAGCAAATTCCACTGTCAAACAGCTCTTACTGTCAGGAAGTTCTTCCTAATGTTTAGGTGGAATCTTCTTTCTTGTAGTTTGGATCCATTGCTCCGTGTCCGCTTCTCTGGAGCAGCAGAAAACAACCTTTCTCCCTCCTCTATGTGACATCCTTTTATATATTTGAACATGGCTATCATATCACCCCTTAACCTCCTCTTCTCCAGGCTAAACATGCCCAGCTCCCTTAGCCGTTCCTCATAAGACATCGGCTTATCAGAAGCATCTGTCTTGTTGCTTTTGGAAGTCACACTTACAATGACAATGAGTCTCATGTCCTTTTAAGATGCTACTGCACTGTAAAGCAGGGATGGGGAACCTGAGGTTGCTAGACTACAATCCCCATCATCCCTGACAATTGGTTATGCTAGTTGGAGTCCCACAACAGCAAGAGGGCCACACAGGTTCCTCACCCCTAATCGAGCAGAACCAGAACTCAGTGGGTCTTCCAAGGTGTGAAGGAGGCTCAGGAAATCTGTTATCTTTCTCGGAATTGTTAGGTACAGATGATTGTGAGGCAGCTGGATTGTCCTTGCTCTATTTTGATAATCCCTGTTCATTATATTACTCCTGGCAAACAAGGCCATTCTGTGGCCTTCATGGAGTTGTGAGGTTAATTAAAACTAACAATGAAGATGAAGTAAAGCCTGAGGGGAGAAACAACCTACAGGTGGTTAGTTACTCAGGGACGGGTCAGTGAGGGAAGAACAGATTGCCTGTTTCCCATCTACAAGGGACAAGGGTGGCGCTGTGGGTTATTAGCCTAGGACTTGCCGATCAGAAGGTTGGTGGTTCGAATCCCCGCGACTGGGTGAGCTCCTGTTGCTCAGTCCCTGCTCCTGCCAACCTAGCAGTTTGAAAGAACGTTAAAGTGCAAGTAGATAAATAGGTACCGCTCCGGCGGGAAGGTAAACGGCGTTTCCATGCGCCGCTCTTGTTCGCCAGAAGGGGCTTAGTCATGCTGGCCACATGACCCGGAAGCTGTACGTCGGCTCCCTCGGCCAATAAAGCGACATGAGCGCCACAACCCCAGAGTCAGTCACGACTGGACCTAATGGTCAGGGGTCCCTTTACCTTTACCTTTAATTTCAATTGGTCTACTCATATATGGGTGTAACCCTATTTCTCACAGCAAGGTGGCAGAAAATCCAAAGGGGAAAACCCATTCATGGGGATTTAAAATAAAAATACAGTGGTACCTCAGTTTACATACGCTTCAGGTTACATATGCTTCAGATTACAGACTCCGCTAACCCAGAAATAGTGCTTCAGGTTAAGAACTTTGCTTCAGGATGAGAACAGAAATCGTGCTCTGGCGGCGCAGTGGCAGCAGGAGGCCCCATTAGCTAAAGTGGTGCTTCAGGTTAAGAACAGTTTCAGGTTAAGTACGGACCTCCGGAACGAATTAAGTACTTAACCTGAGGTACCACTGTATTAACAAATACAGAAAAACCATTACTTTTTGCCCCTCCCAACTTTTTTAATCAATTCCTGTTGCATACAAAAACATGTCGACATCAAAAAACCTTTGCTTTTCTTTCACAGAAAATGGCAAGGCAACTGTTTTCATTGAGAGTCGTTCTCCGACCCTCTTCCTCTGCAAGCTCAATGGGGCAAACGAACACTGCTTCATGAACCTGCAGAGGAACGGGATGACCGTGGAAGTGTATCCTCAGGAGGTGGGGACTCATAGCTTGGACATCTTCGCCAAACCTTCCAGGAGCAAGGAGGATAACTACAGCCACGTGGTGGAATACTCCCTGGTGTGCCAATCTGTGGACAAAAACTTCTGTTTGCCCAAACCGCTCATCCAGCCTGTGGGGCCCAGCTGGCAATCGGAGGAGAAGGGGATTCTGGGAGCCTCGCCTGCCAGTCCGATTGTCCACACTGATGACGGACGCTGCATTGTCACCTTCACTCGAAGCAGAGACCTGGATCTCTTTGCCACCCTGGACTCTGAGGCCAGCAGCACGTCGGAGGACTTGCGGAGGCGTCACATCTGGACCACTCGCCAAGATGCCCATGTTGAGTTGAAGATACAGCTCCCTCACGCAGGGACCTTTGCTCTTCACATCTGGGCAAAGAAAGCATCCGATCCGGGGAACAGTCACTGCGCCCTCAGCTACCTCCTCTTCTGCCCAAACAAGAGTGTGTTGTGGCCGGTTTTCCCACAGAGTTATACCAACTGGGAGGATGCCTTTGAGCTGATGGCACCAGTTGCCGGGGTCTTGCCGGCCAACCACGATGTGACATTTAAGCTCAAGCTGCCTGGCGTAGATGAGGTGTCTGTCGAATGCGGAAATTCTCGCCAACTGACTCTTAGCGAAGACGGTTTCTGGGAGGGAACCTGCAACACCTCGTGTGGCCCCAGGGTGACAGTGATGATATCAAAAAATGGCAGCCACTCCTTCTGGGCCCTGCTGGACTACAAAGTGGAAAGTCACTAGCTAGGAGGAGGAAATTAAACTATGTAAAAAGATCTACACTTGCCGGAAGAGAGGGAAACGGTAATCCATCATTAACCACAGCTTGTGTGTTAAGCAGGTATAACCGGGAGATATATTAGCAGTCGGATACTGGCATGGGGAAGTGGTCCAAACAATAACCCTGACTATAATTAAAGTAAGGGAAGGCAGACCTCTTAACAGTTGTTTTCTTTAAAGATGAAGTCTATTGTTATTGGTGTAACCAAAAGCAAGAAAATGCGGAACCACGTACATTTTGAGAACGCTGTAAAATGGATTCGTCTGTACACACATAACTGATGGCAAGCTTGTAACTTTGGCTGGTTGCTACCCCTAAAAAGAAAGTTCAACAACACCTCTTTTTCTAACAAAAAAAGGCCTGGTTCCATCACAATTTAAACATAAAATATAGAGCGGGGAAATGAGCAAGTAAATGGACCACATTCTGAACCAGGACTTCCTGCTCATGTTGAATGGACCACTCCAAAGTGTAATCTAAGGTGCTTATATGATGTGTGCCTATATAATGCCTTCACCATTAATATAAAAACATGCTTCCTGTAACTTAAGGTTTCCCGTGGTGGTGGTGGTGGACTTACATATTTAACATTACAGTGGACAGCATGACAAGTCCGCTCTGTCGCGAGGCGTTATTGGAGCAAAGTATAGAAACACTCCCCTCAAACATCAGTCATCTGACACGTGGACTCGGCCGTTGCACTTCCACAAATAAATGCAACAGCAGCTGCTTTGGAGCATTAGCCACACAGGTGCATTTACCTGTGCTTTATTTGAAAATGTAAAACCTGATCTCAAAAAAAGAGGGTGGGTGGACCTGCTAGTTCATAGAATCATTTGTAACCAGGGACCCCTGGTGGCAAAAGAAAGTGAAACCACTCAACTCAGTTCACTTGCCCTCTGTCCTGACATAGGAAATGACACAGAATAATAGAATTGCAGAGTTTGAAGGGACCCGGCGAGTCATCTAGCATTGCAGGAATCTCAACTAAAGCAACCCTCATGGGGCCATCATGGGATTTATGGGGGGGCAGGCTTTATGTTAGTGGGCGCAGAACCTCAGTTTTTGTATTGATTTATTTCGTTTGGAGGAAGGCAGCTGCCCCCTTACCCCCTTTTGGTTCGGGTCCTAACCCCCAGAGCAGCAGAAAACAAGCTTGCTCCATCGTCCACGTGACAGCCCTTTAGAAATCTGAAAATGGCTATAGTATCTCCTCTCAGTCTCCTCTTTTCCAAGCTAAACATACCACGTTTCACTGCTTCCGTGCATGTGTGTGACGTCATTTTTGACCGTCTGCGCATGCACGAGCGATGAAACCCTGAAGTAACGCGCTCCGTTACTTCTGGGTCGCCACAGAGCGCAACCTGAAAGTGCTCAAACTGAAGCGTATTTATCCCAAGGTATGACTGTACAGTGGTGCCTTGCAAGACGAAATTAATCCGTTCCGCGAGTCTCTTCGTCTTGCGGTTTTTTCATCTTGCGAAGCACGGCTATTAGCGGCTTAGCGGCTATTAGCGGCTTAGCAGCTATTAACGGCTTAGCAGCTTAGTGGCTATTAACGGCTTAGCGGCTTTAAGAAAAAGGAAACAAACTCGCAAGAACTCGCAAGACGTTTCATCTTGTGAAGCAAGCCCATAGGGAAATTCGTCTTGCGGAACGACTCAAAAAACGGAAAACTCTTTCATCTAGCAAGTTTTTCGTCTTGCGAGGCATTCGTCTTGCGGGGCACCACTGTATATGGACGCAGGTGGCTCTGTGGGTTAAACCACAGAGCCTAGGACTTGCCGATCAGAAGGTCGGCGGTTCGAATCCCCGCGATGGGGTGAGCGCCCGTTGCTCGGTCCCTGCTCCTGCCAACCTAGCAGTTCGAAAGCACGTCAAAGTGCAAGTAGATAATTATTACCGCTCCGGCGGGAAGGTAAACGGTGTTTCCATGTGCTGCTCTGGTTCGCCAGAAACGCCTTAGTCATGCTGGCCACATGACCCGGAAGCTGTACGCTGGCTCCCTTGGCCAATAAAGCGAGATGAGCGCCGCAACCCCAGAGTCGGTCATGACTGGACCTAATGGTCAGGGGTCCTTTTACCTTTACCTATGACTGTATATAGAAATGAACAAGCCAGTGATATTTTAGGGAGCAGGCTAGCAAGCGGGGCCCATTACTTACATCATAGGAGCCTACACAACACAAAGCACTGTTGCTGTATGTACGTTTTATTTTATTTGGTTTTTTATCTTATATTTTGGAAATGTACATCCAGTTTTTTATCCTTTAATTTTTGGGGGGTCCCCCAAGAGAGTGGGGCCCTAAGCTATAGCTTGTTCAGCTTCTACGTATGAATATGCCCTTCCGAGGAACACCTCGTACAGCGCGGCTGCAGCGCTCGCGACTTCGCCCTGCAGGCAGAATCCTACCCATCCCTGACTGCGGAGCTTGCTTGCTTTTTTTAACAGCCCGCCCCTCCGCCATCCCTGCTGCCGGTGGCAGCTCCACCCTTCCCAGCTGTGGCTCCGGCCAGCCTCTTCCTGTTTCCCTCGCCAAAGGATGCGACGTCGGCGCCGCGACCCGGGAGGCGTCGCGCTGCTCGGCCGGCAGCTGGCGAGGGGGCCCAGGCATCGTGGTGCCGCCTTCCTCCTTGCCCGCTTCTCGTTGGGCTGCTTCCCTCCTTCTCCGCTTTGCCTCAACGTAGAGCGCTGCGGGAGCAGCTGCCAGGCGGAGCCCAGTCGCTCTTTTGCCCGGAGCGCGTTCGTGTGCCGTCCGAGCCAGCAGCCATGGCCGCCGCTGCAGCCGGGATCCTGGCCGGGACCGTCCGAGTGGGTTGATCTCCCGGGGGAGTTTGGGGGAAAGACAGCGATGGAGAGCGAGAGATTTATGGGCACGCAGCCAGGACTGAAGGGAGGGGCCAGGAAAGGACCCAAAAGAACGCGACCCCAAACTTGTGTTTCCAGCTGGTTTTGGACTACATTTCCCATCATCCCTGGACCAGTGGTCTTGCTAGCTAGGGATGATGGGAGTTGTGGTCCAAAACCAGCTGGAGAGCCCAGTTTGGGAAACACTGTTCTAGAGCCAAGGGGTCCCTTCTGATGTTGCTGAACTACAACTTCCATCATCCCTTGCTGTGCTGTGCTGGCTGGGGCTAATGGGAACTGGGGTCCAACAGCGCCAGTGGTTCCCCATCCTCCTTGTGTAAGGGGGGCAGCCTGCTCTCAAACTGAGCTGGTGGTTTCACTCTGGGTGCAACAGCTCTTCCCTGTAATCTAGGCTAGGGTTTCTCAAACTTTTTGAACTTCTTCCCAGCTTTTAACTTTCCTGGTCATCATCAACCACAGATTAATTTTCACAAAAGACACCGTGGAGATTCCCTCTGCTGCCGCCCCCAAGTTGTGTGTGAGCAGAACCTGGGATTTGTATGTTATGTTATTGTTTATTTGTACGTAGCAGCCTTGCCAAATGGCCTCCAAGCAGGGTTGCAAAAATATCAGAATGAGAAACAGACACAGTAATAAAATGAAGCCACACAAGAATACAAATGGATGGAAATATCTGGCAACAGCATCCTTCCGCCCCCCCCCACGCCCCATGCTCCAAATTGCAGCCTTCTCTCTGTTGCTTTACTGACTGGGAAGGAAGCTATGACGTTCACCTGGCTCCCTTTTCTCTGAGCCAGTAGCTAAATCCCTAACCAGTAGCTAAATCCCACTAGGGCTTGTGAATGTGGCCTCAGTGGATAATAATATAATAATAATAATTTATTATTTATACCCCGCCCATCTGGATGGGTTTCCCCAGCCCCTCTGGGTGGCTTCCAACAGAATATTAAAATACAATAGTCTATTAAACATTAAAAGCTTCCCTAAACAGGGCTGCCTTCAGATGTCTTCTAAAAGTCTGGTAGTTGTTTTTCTCTTTGACATCTGGTGGGAGGGCGTTCCACAGGGCAGTGCCACTACCGAGAAGGCCCTCTGCCTGGTTCCCTGTAACTTGGCTTCTTGCAGTGAGGGAATTGCCAGAAGGCTCTCGGCGCTGGACCTCAGTGTCCAGGCAGAACGATGGGGGTGGAGACGCTTCTTCAGGCATACCGGGCCAAGTCTTTAAAGGTCAGCACCAACACTTTGAATTGTCTTCGGAAACGTACTGGGAGCCAGTGTAGGTCTGTTATGTGGTCTCGGCGGTTGTGAATAAGTTGTATGTGGGAGCCGGTGTGAGAGTGGAGCCAGAAGCTCCAGTGAGAAAATGGGCCTGCAACACCGATGCTTCTGATCTCTCCTTCAGGTGGGACTGCAGGAGCGCCTGGCTTCTCTAACGCAGCAGAGGGAAGTGGCGAAAGCGGATGAGAAGAAAATCAAGGAGCTGCTGGCAAGTCTCCAGAGCCACCCGCCTTCCCTTTCCCCCACCCAGCCTCTTGTTGTTAGAACATTTATTTTTATTTATTTTATCTGTCCGATTTGTGTACCACTCTTCTTTTTGGGGGAACTGATTTTTATTTGATTTTACAAATTCATTCACATTCAAAATCACAAATAATAAAAATTACACAAGATTCCTCTGAATCTCAAGGCTTTCCTCCCCTTCCCTCCATGGGCTCTTCAGTTTACTTTTTCAACTGCATACAGTGGTACCTCGGGTTACAGACGCTTCAGGTTACATACTCCACTAACCCAGAAATTGTGCTTCCGGTTAAGAACTTTGCTTCAGGATGAGAACAGAAATCGTGTTCCGGCGGCCCGGCGGGAGGCCCCATTAACTAAAGTGGTGCTTCAGGTTAAGAACAATTTCAGGTTAAGTATGGACCTCCGGAACAAATTAAGTACTTAACCTGAGGTACCACTGTACTATAAATCCTCGTAGTTTTCAGTCCTCCGTTGTATCCAAAGTCTATGCAACATTACAAGAGTTATTTAAGTGTTTACAGTGGTCACATATAGTATAAATTTCTCCCATTTTTTGTTGAATGTTTTGATCCTCCTGGTTTCTGATTTCCCCAGTCATTTTTGCCATCTCCGCATAATCCAATAGTTTAGTTTGCCAGTCCACTCTGGTAGGGACCTTGTCGTCTTTCCAACCTTGAGCAAGCAGCATCCTTGCAGCTCAATTTGTAAACCGCCCTTCATCCAGAGTTCTCAGGGTGGTTTAACCCACAACGCCACCCACATCCCGGCCGTCACTATACCTGGTTGCAAATCCTGTAGTTTAATTGATGTGCCGTGTGGCAAAGTCCTTTTGCTTGCCCTGAATCTTCCAACATTCAGCTTTGTTGGCTTTCCCAGAGTTCTAAGTATGAGGAAGAGAGACACACACATGTCTTCCTATCCAAATTCTCTACGCT